CCTCGGCCCGCCGCTCGCTCCGCCTGGCGCCGCCGCGCCTCCTCCGCTCCCTCTGCGCCCTTCTTCCCCTTTCCTCCTCTTTTGTCTCCTCCTCCTCCTTTGGGCTCACCTCCTCTCCCTTCCTCTCCTTTCCTGTGGCCCCCCCTTCCCTGCCTTGCCTCTCTCCCTCCCCCACCCACTCCGTCCCCCCCTCACTCCCACACTCTCAACACTCTCCCCACCCACACACCTCCACAACACTCGCCTTCCCTCGCCTCCCACTTCCACCCTCCTTTGCCTCTCGCCCCCGCCCTCCCTCCCACTCTCCTTCTCACTCATCTCACCTCCTCCTCACACACGGCGGTGCCTCTTCTCCCCCCCCTGATTCGCTCCCCCCCTCTCGTCGTCCCAGCCTGCGCCCCTCGGCCCCCAGCTCTCCGCCTGCTCGCTTCGACCATCCCTTCCGGCCCTTTCTTCCCAGCCTCAACCCCCTCTCTCCTTCCCCTTTTTCTCACCCCCCTCTTGGGCACAACGGCACCCTCGGACCCACAACCCCTCCCATCTCTGGTCTCCCCCACTCACCTCCCCCCCCCCCTTCTCGTTTCCTCGCGGGCGGGCGCGCGCGGGCCCCGCCCCCTCTGCTCGTCTTTCCACCCTCGCCCCGCTGCTCGCTTCGTCCTCTACTTGCAGTGTCGTTTCCCGCCCCTTCTGCCCACCTCCTCCTCCGCTCTCACTCCTCTCTCACCTCCTTGAGCTTCTCGTTCTCGCGTCTCCCCTCCCCCTTCCACCCGCCTCTCCCTACCCTCCGCCCCCCGCCCTTCGCCTCCTACCTCTCCGTTTCACCCCCTTCTCCCTCTCCGTCTCTCTCTCCCCCCACCCCCGGCGGCAGGCACACCCCGCGCACGCCCCCGCGCGCGCGCTCCGTTACCCACTCGTTGCGTGGCGTGGCGGTCTTTCCCCTGTGCGCTCAGCTCCCGGCTTTACGACATTCGGTGGGCCCACCCCCACGCTCCGCGCGCGTGCCTCTTGAACTTCCCTTCCGGTGGCTGCCCCCCACGCTTCGTGCTCCTCTGTTGCACCTGCGCTGCTGCGTGTGTCCCTGGCCAGTGTTTGCTTGTTCCTCCCCCATTTACATCTTGTGTCTCCTCCTGTCCCTTGGCTTGTTCGCAGGCTGCTGCCCCCTTGGGCTGCACACCTCCATCTTCTGTCTACCCGGGCTTCCCTGTTACCCCCCTCACCCTTTTTGTCGCCATGCCCTACCCCACCCTGCTTTCCTCATCGTGCACCTGGCCCGTCGCCGTCTGTCTTGTCTCGCACCGTGGGGGTCAGTCGCTTTTTCATGGCTGGCCCCACTGAGGTTGTGTTTGAAGGTGGGCCTCGGGCCATTTAGGTTGTTGTGACCTTGGACTTGCTAGCGCATTGTGTTTATCTCTCACTTTGCGCGCCACTGCCGTCAGGGTTTCCCCTGACCCTGTTTTGCCCCTCCCAGCCTGATGCGGCTACCCCCTTCGTCGTGGAAGATGTGACGCAGCCGAGCGTGGGGCAGCCAGTCGCTCCCTTCACGCTGACACATATATAGCACATGAGCGGGGCTCCCGCGGCATTTCCGCCTCCTCTGGTGACAGCCCTCCCGCACCTGGCGGTCGCCGGGGGGGAGCACCCTCGTCCCCAGAAGAGAGCGGAGCAGGCGAGCTTCCACCCCCCGGCTGCTCCTCTCTCAAAACGCGAGCCCTCGTACTCCGCGGACTCCTCCTCTTCCTTTTCCGCCCTCCAGTCCGTGACCCCGGTCCCCCCCGCCGCGCGCGGCACGCCGCCCGGGCGTCGCTCGGTCAGCCCACCCGTCTGCTAACCCCGCTCGCCAGTCTCCCCTCACCCTTCATACACAGCACACCCTCTCACACCACCGGCACCGTTCCCCGGAACCCACCACAACACCGTCCGTCCTCCCCTGTCCCATGCTCCTTCCCTGGCCCTTAACTATGCCACGCGACCCCCGCACTCCCCCACGCTGTCACCGCCCACGCACCCGTTCTGTCTCCCCTGCTCTGCTCTCACGAGCTCGTCTACACCCCTAAACACCTGCTCTCGTCACTCTCTCTCCGCCCCACCCACCCCCCCCCCACCGCTCTGCTACGCCGCCCACTCCCGCCCCCCCCCCCACCCACCACCCAACCCCGCGCGGTTTGTCTTGCTCGAGCCCCACAACCAACACCTCACAAATCCAGCGCCACACCGCCCGCGACGTCCCCCAGCCCCTACGCGACCTGAAGACACCTCAGTTTACCCTCTTCACACTTCTCCACCGGATGTTTTCGGGCTTCTGCAGCTGATCTGCTCTCGAGCTCGCCGTGCTACTGTCCGGGTATCGTACCCTGGTCAACTCGCTCAGCCGCACTTCCGCCAAATAAACTTCCCTTATGAACCCTACCCCCTTCCTATTAACCCCGCGTCCTGCCCCCCCCCCTCTTGTAGTCCAACCACCACACCGACTTGCACCACCTTCCCCCACACACCCACCACCCGCCGCCACCCCCCGTTCGCACCTCCTCAGCGTCGTCTGATCCTCGCTCTGCAGCACACTACCTCTCTGCACGCCACCCACCACCCCCCGCCGCCCCCCACCGCCCCCCCCGCCCCCACACCGCACACACACCACGACGGACAGAGATTTCTCTGCTTTTAGTCGATAAGGTACAAGACGTTAATGAC